CCTCTGAGCAATCTGCAGACAATTTAAACACATAGTGACACCAAAAAAGGAGACTGGAGGGGATCATGGTGGTACATGCCTGTAACCCCAGCACCCTAAGGCGGGAAGGTCAACAAATTCAGACCCAGCCTAGGCAACTTAGCCAGCCCCGCCTCAAAAAGTGAAAAAGATTGGAGATGTGGTTCTGTATGAGCGTCCTGGGTTCAACATGCAGTGCCAGGAAACAAACAAGCAAAAACAAAACCCAACTCAACCCAACCAGCATGGCAGGAGATGGGGTGGGGAGCTCCTCCTTAGAGGCAGACCAGTCAGGAAACATACATGGAAACACTGGCAGAACTAGGGAATCACTGTTTGGCAGTTACCAACGCAATGACTGATTAAGGCAAGAATTATCAACTGCCACCAAAATAACTGGGTAGAGGCTGAGTATGGTGGAACACACCTGTAACCTTAGCACTTGGGAGACCAAGGCAGGTTACATAGTAGGACCCTGTCTCAAAAAACAAAGTACAACAACAACAACAAAAACAACTGGAGAGGAAAAACTGCTGGAAAACAGGGTATTTACAGGATCATGAAGTACCATATCATAGATTAATTACTAACTATAAAAGGAAAGCATACCCTCAGAATGTAGAAACCTGGCTAAGATAATAGACAGGCAAACTGTGCTGTCTGCAGTGGGAAGTGCACATCACCGAGATGAGCGCTGAAAGACTGCAGCGCCACCAAATGCAGAGTCTGGACTGGAAGGAAGGAAGGACAGAGCGGGTGGGCACAGCTCAGCGGCGAGCACCCCCAGCTCAGGAACTGCGTCTCTCTGTCCCGTCCAGAATGGTCTCTACCTCCTCTTACTCCTGAAGACACACGGTGAAACACTTATGGGCGAAACATCATGATGCTTCCACCTCTACTTTCACATAATTCAGCACAAAAAAAGAACACATGCACATTCAAATTCAGACAGCATTGTCTAGGGGAAACCAGGGTGAGGACCGTTATTGACTTGGACATCTAGGAGGTGAAGGACACATACATACAGCACAGGTATCTGTTATGCTATTTTCAACTTTTTTAAATTGGTTTGAAACTGTCAAAAGAAAAAAAGGAGGAAAACACTGGGGGAAAATTAACAGACAGCTAATCAGACTTTATAAAGCCTACTTCTTCACCCTTCTCATTAGGGTTAAAAGTAAGAGCAAAACCCAAAAGGCCTGACTGACTCAGGTCTGGTGGCAGAGTGTAATCACAGCTACTCAGGAAGCTGAGGCAGGACTGGCAGGTTCAAAGCAGCCTGCTCAATTTAACAAGATCTTGTTTCAAAATAAGAAAACATAAAAAGTGCTGGGGCTGTGGTGCAGGGCTCCTCTGGTTCAATGCCCAGTACCAACAGGGGAAAAAAGTCTGACTAAAAATAAAGATGGTAATTCTAACAAACAGTAAGTAATCACTAAATAACCCAGCACTGGATTCTGTTACAGCTGCAGGCTGAATGTAATCCCTGCTGAACCCGGTGGAGGCCCAGATTGACACACCACAGGCAACATAAGACACACAGACCGCCAGACACAAGATTTTCTCCAAATCAATCCAAACTACCAAGCAAACTTTCTCTCAATATGAGTTTTGCTATTTAGTTTTGAACCCTAAAACACACAGTCACAGAAATCCAGAGGAGCTCAGACCCAGTGTTACTGCAGTAATGAACACTGCAGCTCTGTTCGGAGGTCCTTGCTTACCACCTCATTTAAACCTCACAAGGATAAAGTGTGGTCATTACCCCAACCGGTAATTAAAACAACAAGGGTTTGGAAATGCAGTACAATTTCTATAAGGTCACCATGCTAGTAAATAAACAAAAAGAGCCTTGGAATTCAGGGAGTCTGACTTCAAAGCCTACACTCTTTGTTCTACAAAATCTGTAACTTACCAAGAAATAAAAAATTTAAACTGTGCTGATTCAGTATTTCTCAAAAATTAAACAAATGAAACATTTCAAGGGAAACAAAACTCAAAAATAGGTCTTTATTCCCTGACGTACACTTGGATTTACATCCGCACCAACAGAATGCATTTAGAATTTAACCAGGTGCCCAATTTACTCCCCGGTCCCAAGCAAGCTATTCAAATTCCTGGTTGTAACATGAGCACATACCAACCTCTCCTCTGGAGCTTCACCCCTGCTCACTCCAGGAAAAAACACCCGAGAAGACACCAGCATCCCAATACACTGAACTGGAACAATGATTCCAAAGGGAAAATAAGAAAGTAACCTTGAACCTAGCTGCCACCACACACAATACTAAAAGAGAAACCAGAGCTCCAGCCAGCCCCAGAGTGCTCTCCGTCTCAGGGACCCACACCCCAGGACACCCAGTCACAGAAGGGCATCCTCAGGGTGGCCAGCGGTGACATCCCTTCCCTCTCGGCTCCTATCTAACCCACCACTCCTGTCCTGAGCATCTCCAAGGCCACCACTACCTTCTCCAGCTCAATCAGTCTTCTAGGGAGCTCCAGAGCCTCCTAAATGGCCCCCCATCTCCAACCTCATTCTCTCTGAAACTGGCCCCTCACAGAAGCAGACTCCAGTCCACGTGCCGGAGCTGGAACCCCAAGTTTCTTTAACCGAGTCTCCGATTCATCTGCCTCCCCACACACCCAGCAGACTTGCCGGCAGAAGATGCTTGGCCTCCCACGTCCCTGTGGCCAGGAGACTGCCCGGTGAATGATTAAATGCTGAGTGGCTGACTGCATGTCAAAGGTTACAGGTGTATACAAAAACAACACAAATCATCTTCAGGTTCCTTATGACACAAATTGCGGGTCGCCAAAGCTTACATTACAACACTGAAATGGATATGGCAATCCTGGTCTGTTTAATTGACAGTATTTTTTCTTCTAGTGATTCTTAACACAATGGTGTACTTTAGAACTTAACAAAGCACTGAGGAATCTACAACTCTCTCCACCACCAGGTTCAAACCTGGTAATCGCTCCCCTGTTCTCTCCTGGCCACTATCCTACCCTACCAGCCAATAACTACTGTTTCCCCCACTGCAGCACCTGAATCCACCGTCCGCCGTCCCCTGGGTGGGGACGAGGGGTCCAGCTCCTAACTCACTTCCCCCACAGCTCCATTCCTTCAAACACGACTTTGTCCAAATGCAAACAAGGATAGGCAGGAAAACCGAGCATACCCAGCAGTTGTTTGCACAGTATGAATCTCTCTGCACAACCTACCCTAGGAATTCTGTTCACTTTATACTTCCATTTCATTCTTCTTAATTTCTACCTACAACACCCTCACCTGCTATTTAAATACCAGATTAAACGTCACCTTCCACATCCCTTCCTTGTTAACCCCTATTTCCAACCTTCACGTTCTAAAACCCTAACATCTGAAACATATCGGCCCTACTTCCTGCCCTCAGTAGAGGATGTCTGGGTCTCACAGTGGGCTCCCTCGGGGAAGGACTGTGCTCCTCTCCCGGCCTCAGCCCCACCCTAACCACACAGGATAGTATCTGGCTAGGAAGAGCAGCTCTGCAAGCAACTGTGCTTAATACACAGTTATTACAGGGCAGAGAACAAATCTCTGCAGCTGTGGTGCAGCGGAAAGGGTCAAAAAGAACTGGACAAGATGACAAAAATTCTTAAGCTTCAGTTTGTTCAACTGCTAAATGTAAATAATATTTATCAGTCCAGTGAGTCATAATTAACAGAGATGACGCTGCAGAAGTACCCAACACAAAGATGAGGACAAAAAAGACACTCACTAATGACTGTTCTGATGATTTTTATTAAGTATTCAATAAATGCCTACTTACCAAGTAAAATCTCAAGGAAAGTATCTATTTGAAAAGTAGGAATCTTAGGAAGCAAACGTTTTGGAGAGGAGGTCAGTGGAAACAAGAGGACGAAATGGTAAGCAAAGATGTACAAGATCCACAATGATCCAAAAATTTGTATATGTAATATACAAATATATTCAATTTCCAAAAATGATAATTACCACATATCACAAACATTCACTAATAAAAAGGAGGAATGTCAAGAATGTAAAATGTTTGAATGTCTAGCTTCTTAATCTTTTTTCAATAAGGAATTCTGTGAGTGAATTAATTCTGAAATATACAGTTAGCCCCAAAGCTTTAGCAGGACTGAAGCCATCTCAGATCACTTCAGAATCACTAACTTGACAGAACCGAGACTCAATCTGCATATTGTACTCACAGGCAGAGACTATACCGCTGGAAGAACCATGATCTCCTTACTAGAAACCCTAGCGCAACAAGAAGGTGCAAACCCCCCTGAGTTACACAGTCCCCAGACAGTGAAAACAAAACTTCTTTTACAAACTATTAATGAATAGTACAAAAAACTGCTTACCAAAGCTATCTGGAAAAACTTCACAACCAGTTATCACTCATACGTTTTCAATATATTTGTATCATGTTTACAGGGAAAAAATAAGTGGCATCAAATAAGTGGCTTTAAGCTCTTTTTAACTAAATATACAACTCCATATGCATTTTCAAACTTCAAACAGTTCTCAAGATTTTATAACAAGTGAACCAATAATCAACTCAATATATTATCAGATTATCTGATAATCAGAAACTCCTGTCTTCAAGGAGAGCTTTATCAACCTGAAACCCAGAAAATAGACTTAACTTTTCAAAGCCTCTCCAATCCTACTGGGCACTACCAGTGATTCTAATATAATTACACACCACAAGCAAGCAAGAAAGATCATCCCTGTGTGTCTGTTATCAATTGACACAAAATCTCTACAAAATTCCACTAAGACATATGGTCCAAAAATAAAAACAGAAGAAAATTCCCATCTAAGTAATTCAGATACAAATGGCTCTAGAAGTAGGTATCTTCAACTCTAGGATAGCAGTGGATCCCAGGTGAGAAAATCACGAATACAAAACAAAACATAAGCTTACATAGTACACAACAAAATACACACTCAGGGCTTGGCCTGGTACCTGTTATCCCAGCACCCAGGAGGCAGAGGCTGGAGGAGCACTGAGAGTCTGAGGCCAGCATGGGCTATAAAGTGAGACCTTGTCTCAAAAAATCAAAACAGAATGAAAAACAAGAAACAAATTCTTAAGCCCAGTCATACTATGCCTCATTTTCCAAGCAGGTTAGAATGCATTCCATCCCAGGGATACAGGACCTATGCTATTACAATGTATTGGATGGAGCAGCAGATATGAGACTTCAGCTGCCTTCTGTTAAACCAGACAGGACAAAATCTGCAAGTGCAAAACAATAAAATTAAAAGTTTGCTTATTTCTGGATATACAGTTGATTTCATTGAAAATACGTTATGTCATGTGTAATTATTTCAATATGGTTTTAAATGCATTAACAAATTCATTCAAATTTTTAAAATCACTTTTAGATTTGCTGTGGCAAATTTTGGTAATTACAAGCCATAGGAAGAACAGCTCTTTGGGATGTCCACTAATTTTTTATTTTAGTTTTAAATTAACATATAGTAAAACTGACTTTATTGGCATGCAGTTTATTGAATTTTTAACCCTATATAGATTCATGTAACATCACCACAGTCAGAATAAATAGGTCTATTTCAAAAAAAAAAAAAAAATCCATTCTGGGTCGACCACAAGGGACCTCAGATGCGGGAGGGAGGGGGTGAGCGGACACCCAGTACAGCTAGTGCACGTTAACACCGGATGAAAAGGCGTTCGCTCACCCGAACTCGAGTGCCGTGGTGAGAAGCAGTGACCAAGACGACAACGAGGGCTGGGTTAGGATGCGGGAATTCGGGGCTTTCCTCTTTGGGAACGGGGTCGCGCCGGGCCACGTAAGACCTCAGGAAGCAAGGGCAGCTGCCCTGGAGCTCGCGTTTGGGAGCTTCGGAGCCCGGGACGAACGGCACCACACGGGAGGCGCCGGAGCCCTGCGGACCCGGATGGGGCCGCGCGGTCTCCTCTAGGGACAGAACCCCGCGGGACCCCCGGTCATTCGGAAGTCAGAGATACTGAATCCCAACCTCCTTGACCGCTACCTCAAGTCGACCCCTCGCCGAAACGGGTATGGAGAACTGAATACATGTGCACGAGCCACCAACCGGCGACACGCCTGGGCCTGAGCAGCAGCCACAACGGTTACCCCCGGGCACACAGACGCCGGGACATCCGCGCCACAGCCTCGGGTCCCGCCAGGCCACCGTAGTTGGAGATAGACCTCGCCCCAACCCCCTGCCGGCTACCGTAGTACTCGGAGGTACGGCCTCACTCTAATCCCGGGCCGGCCACCGTACTCGGAGGGACGTTTCAAACAAAACCTGCGGCCGGCCACTTACGTGCACTACAGCCTTCCCACGGCGCTCGCCGCTTATGGTCTGGAGCGTTTCCTCGACCTGTTCTTCCCCACCTTCACCCAGTTACTATTGCGGCGAGCGCGGAGCCATGGAGGATATCTGTAAATGGTGCCTGTCTTTTAGACAAACCCCATCACTGCTCTCCGAGGCCTACCGAGGACCTCTCCGAAGTCCTACAGTTGGACTTCAACCCCCAGGATGCCATACGACATTACGCACTTGCCTCGGCGGGAACTACAAGACCCAGCTTGCTATGCGCCCACCTTCCTCGTGCCCCTATTAGTGCAGCTCTCCAGGAAGCCTTCGTTTGCTGAGATTACCTTGTGTTTTCTGTTAATTGGCTATGAGGGTACTCTGAGATACAGTGAGGGCTGATGACTGGGCACTTGGAAAACGTCCCGAGATATGTGCACTCATTTCTTCAGATTCTTTATAAGTATTAGAACAGGCCAGTTTTAAAGAGAGGCCTCATTCTTGAGAGATGTGGAGAGAATATTAAATTATTGCACAGTGTAATGCTGTATTGTGTTGCAGTGCCGCAGATCCTACTGGAGCAAGGATCATTCGACATGATCCTGGCATGCATAGGAAATTACAGTAGAAGCTAGAAGTAAAAAGAGAAATAAATAACAGTCTGTACTATCCGACTCTGAAACCGCGCTGGGAAGAAAACTTTACAGAATGCAGAACTGAAAAGTTAAATATTAAACTTGAAACATGCATTTCAATTTTTAGTGTGGTTAGCGGTTTGCCTTCGTGTTAGTCTCACAAAAACAGGTAACTAGGGTAACCGGTTGTTTCTTGTCAAAACCAAACAGGTTTGACAAGAAACAAATGATATTTATTAAAATGAGCAAACAAAATAATTGTTTCTTTGTCTGATTAAATAGACTGTGGTTCCATTTTTTTAATACAGAGCTTTCTGATTCCTTATGAGAAATAACATGAATCAAGCAAGCTGATGTGTGCTTTTTAAAACTTCCATAAAGACTTGAATTACACAAAGGAATATATATTAAACAGACCATGGGAAACAGTGCTTGGGTTTGTAAAATAACTATGATAATTATGCAAAATTAAAATGTGAATGTATCACAAACATTTTATTATGGGCTCATAGCAAAACATTTTAATTCATTAGAAAAGGAAAAAATACCTTTCCTTTTTATGACTTCATGCAGAGGTCAGGGGGACATATTCTGTAGCACTGACATGGCATCAGCTACCATATAAACTGCTTTCCAACTCCAGTGTGCTAAATTATGCAACACTAGCAAGTAAATATTTAAAAATCTGATCATGGGAAATGATCTGCAGCCTTCCATACTCATGCACCAAAACAATGTGCATGCAGTGAAAGACTGCATTGCTACTGGAGTGATTCAAAGGTAATGTTAATAAAGTATAATTAGATTATCTGATATTCATAGATATAGTAAATAAACATAATTGCAGCCATTTATAGTAATGTCATTAAAGAAGCTTTAAAATATGCTAAATATTTAGCTGGGCGTGGTGGCTCACACCTGTAATACCAGCACTTGGGAGGCTGAGGCAGGAGGATCGCTGCGAGTTTGAAACTAGCCTGGACTACAAAGTGAGCTCAAGGCCAGCCTGAACTGCATAGGGAGACCCTGTATCAAAAAGACAAAGAAAAAAAAAGCTAAATATTTGATATATGTATTTGTACAGCATTTTAAATAATTGTGCAAATGGACATAGACGTTTAAAGAATCATTAGTTATGTAGCACACGATGTCTTTGGAAGATTCTTGCACCTGTAGCACTCAGCAGTATTCTTTCCTCTCATGTCTTTGCTCTGTGCTTGTGCTAGTTACCAACTACACGAGAGTAAAAGTTAAACAAGCTGTTCTGTTTCAACATATAGTTGATGACTCCTACTGAGGGAAAGCACTCTAGTACTATGAGCTATTTCTGAAGCACAGAATGCTTTGATAAATAGCAGTGACTTAATTTGTTTATATAAGGTGAATGAACCTTGGTCAAATGAGTAACTTGTAGATTTCTAAATGCTAAAAAATTGTTTTTAAAACTTGGTGTAAACTTTTTTCCTTCCCATTTTTAGTCATTTCTCCTACATCTTCAATTTCCATCTCTCCCCTTTACCTCAGCCCACAAACACACACAAAATCCCCCTAATTTTGAAAGCATCTTCAGTGGACTCAGTTTCCTTACCTAATGCACTGTTTTTCTATCTTCTTTTTCCTTTCATATTTATACTGCCGCAAGTACTACAAAGAAACCTTTAGACCTGAAATGATGCACAGGATATCTTCCCAGAAGCCACTATTTAAACACCCACAGCTGTGCTAGATCCTGGGAATACAAATAAATTCAGATGTGGAGCTGATACCCCAAAATACAGAGTGACAGACATTGTGATAGAGATATGGGTTAATGCTAAGAGCCCTGGGAAGGCTAATGGCTCTCAAATCGAAAGATCCCAAAGAAGGAAGTTCCTGAATCATTTAAGTGATAAAAATAAGAATCAAGGGACTACCTGACAAGCACTAGGTTGTGAGTTCAATCGCTGGTACCAAAAAAATAAATAAGAATCAAGAATTTTAAAAAATCAACGCCCCAAAATTCAAAAACCCATTCCAAAAATGGGCATCTGAGATGAATACACAGTTATCAGATGAAGAAATACAAATGGCAAATAAATACATGAAAAAATGTTCATCATCATTGGTCATTAGAAAAATGCAAATTAAAACAGCACTAAGGTTCCATCTCACTCCAGAAAGAATGGCCAGGATCAGGAAAACTACCAACAACAAATTCTGGAGAGGCTGTGGGGAAGAAGGAACTCTCCTGCACTATTGGTGGGCGTGTAGACTGGTGCAACCACTGTGGAGGCAGTCTGGAGGTTCCTCAAAAAGCTGGGTTTGGAAGTTCCATTTGACCCAGCTATCCCACTTCTGGACATGTTTCCAGAAGAACTGAAAACATCATATCACAGTGATATATGTGCACCCATGTTTATAGCAGCACAATTTGTAATAGCCCGATCTTAGAAACAACCTAAATGCCCATCAACTGAGGAATGAATAAAAACCTGTGGTATTTTTATACAATGGAGTACTACTCAGCCATAAAGAATGATCACATTGAGATATTTATAAATAAATGGACACAACTTGATACCATACTCATAAGCAAAATAAATCCAACTCATATATAAATACTGTATGGTCTCCCTACTGTAAGTGATGGTAAGAGTACATAAGATACAAAAAACTCAATAAACACAGTGAAAGGATAAGAATCTGATTAAAGGGGAAAAATATCTCAGGGAAAACGAGGAAAAAGAAAAAGGAAGGGAAAAGAAAAAAATCTAAAATTATATAAATACACTTAGGATAGCTAAGATGATTGTGCTACAAATTCTATAAGTTCTTGAAGCAAAATAGTTAACATTCATAGGATTGGAACAATTGTCTATTGTACAGTGATCTGAGGAGCTCTTGAAGATCATTATGTAAAATAACAACCCTAGTTACGCTCATACTACCTTGTTTTGAAGGCCTGTACTGTCAGTGTTCTGGGCTCTTTGCTATTGTTGTTTATGTCTTTTTCGTTTCATGTTTTTCTAGAAAATTGTTTTGTTTTGTCTTGGTTTGTTTTGTTTTTCCCTCTAATACAGAAAGGGTAGGTATACATGTAGAGACTCATGCATACATAGAACTTCTAAAGAGTTTATGAGAATCGATTATATAATACATGATGAAATGAACAGCTACTTTGAAAAAAAGAGACACTAAGGTACCCACTGCCGATTCTGTAGCCTCATGATGTGAAATCCAGCAATACTATTATTCTATGTTCAGAGTGACTTTAGTCTGTTTTGTTTTGTTTAATTTCAACATACATGGAGGTATGGACAACTATTTTGAAGAGAATGAGAGACATTAAGGCAGTCATTGTTGACTTCCTTATTGTCTGGTCCTGAAGACCTAAAATACCTTCATCACCCTGTTCTGATCAAATCTATGCTATTTTGTTTTGTATGAATTCATGGACAACTGTTTGGAAGAAAACAAGAGACAATATGATAGACAGAGATCTCCAGTTATCTTGCTTTGAAATCTGCGTCTCTTACATTGTTATCTTATGATATATTTTGTTTTGTTTTGTTTAATTTTACCCTCTTTAGGGCTGGGATTTAGCTCAGTGGAATAAGCGCCTGCCTTGCAAGCAGACAGTCGTGAGTTCAATCGCTGGTACCGATAAAAACGAAAAAGACCAAAAAAAATAATAATAATTTTACCCTCTTTAAAAATAAAAAAAAAGAATCAACTAACTGCAAAAGAGGGTGGCTCAACCACTGTAGGATAAATCCATCTAGCAGAGCAGGAGCGTGGATTGGTGGAATGACATGACCTACAAAGGCAGAGTGGAGCCATTTGTACTGTGAAAGTGACTTGAGTTAAACTCGGACACGAAGGGAACCATCTAGGCACTGGCATAAACAAACTGCATTTTAGCTGCTAGGTGCAGTTTGAAGGATGGGCTGGGCTGGCAAGACCAGTCAGGAAATTGTTTTTCTAATTTAGATTTTTTTAGTGGGAGATATGAAATACAATAACAATAAGGAAAGAGCACAGTATTGTTCAGAGACACTAAGATAGAATCCAGATGAGGAGGGAGAGAAGAAATCAAAGAAGACTTGGAGGGTTCTAGCTTTCAGTCTTCTACACACTGAGTTAGAAAGCTTTAGAAGTTGCCATGAGATGGGGCTGGGGATTTAGCTCAGCGGCATAAGTGCCTGCCTTGCAAGCAGGCAGTCGTGAGTTTGATCCCTGGTACCAATAAAAAGGAAAAAGACAAAAAAAAAAAAAAA